AAAAAAAAAAAGGAAAAAGAACAAAGCAAAAAGGTAGAACGTGTCGATGGTCGGCTTGTTTCAGCAACAGATTCACGCGCAACAACTGCCGCACGGCGCGGTGGTCGGCGGTCTTCCGCCAGCAGGTCTATTGGGCTTCGCAGGAGCGGCGGCGGCGGCCGCAGCCGCGGGTGTGCCGCCTCATCTAGCTCCGCCGCCGCATCCGGCGGCCGCGGCTGCGGTCCAAGCACAGGCGCAAGCGCTGCTGAAACCGTCGGACCTGCAGCAACACCGGTCCGCCGCGGAGACGCCCGAGGACCGTAAACCGATCGCCCTCACCGACGAGAGACTCCGACGATCCGTGTCGCCGCCGGAGAAATTCCGTAGCCGCACCCCCGACCTCGAGAGCGATCCCAAGAGGCGGAAGGAGGAGAAGCTCGGACACGTGAGTTTAATCCTGCTATTCTACTACTACTGCTGCTACTACTATTTCTACTACTACTACTATTACTACTAGTACTATTACTATCATCCTTCTCTTGCTTTAACGTGCGCGCACTCACGCCGCACCGGATAGAGAACCGGCGGCCGCCGCTTTTGTTTTTAAGCGACCGCGCGCACACCCTTCGATCCACCTGTTACGCGCCATTTAAGAATCCGAACCGAGCCGTCCAAGGACCTCGCGTCCGCGCGGCTAAGTAGCGTCTACGGACGACGTTGGTGGTTAGGGGTGTCAGGACGCGCGGCTGCTGCGCGTGATTCGCGAGCTTCGTTTCACAAGAGGATTCGGTAATTAGGAAATTGGATGCTACGAGGATCAATGAATGTCGAATTTAAAGCTCGGGTTGAATCTCTTGCGAATGCGAATTTAATTCGAACGAAAGGTATAGGTATTGACAGAGGATACGTTAACTAAATTTATATGATAGAACGACGGGATGAAATTAAATGATGAAACACTCTCGATCGAAGGTCGAGTGATTAGTTATTGAAAGAATTAGAAATTAAATACTTATGTCCGGTGTACAGTGTGTCTCGTTGTGGCAGCTGCCACGACTACGAGATCTCGAGAGTTTAGCTAGATCATATTTCAGAGAACGTAGTACAAATGCGGCAGTTTAATTCGAAATTTAAAACAAGAGAGAGAATATGTGTTATATATGTATATAATCTTGATGGAAATTCGAAGAGCATGTATGCACACGTGCAGTTCAATCACGCGATAAGAATATATATATATATATATATTATTCTCGGTTACGTATAAATTATTAACGATACTCGTAAAATAGTTTCCGAATTCTCAAAATTCTCGTGAAATTTCGCGAATAAAAAATTCACGAAAGACTCGCGAGAATTTTCCGCGCGTAGGGGAACGGGGTAGAATAAAACGGTAGAAATACTCCCCGAAGAAGATAGCGTTGCGCAGTTTTTTTTTTTATGATCGTTCCTTTGGAAACGTCTTTCTCGAATATACATCAACCCACGTGGATGCACGATGGGGCATTCGAACGACTTCAAAGTCCCGGGTAAATAAAATTGCAGCCGGTGTATCGTTTGGCCACGTGTAACGTATCAGCCCGAGTGTTTCAGCCAGCGGCGATAAAACTCGAAAACCATCGGATGGTTGGTGGGTTTCGCGGTCACGAGCAACAGCCGTTACAACCGAAAGGAAAAAGAGTTGCCGCTCGTTTCGTCCGAGTCGACCCAAGAGGAGAGGCTAATTCACCAAGTTTTCTCGTTTTCAATCGCGGCCTCGTGGTAGTTACTAGACTGTGAATTTTAACGCGTTCGTTGGGAAGTTTCAAGGCGATGAGAACTTACAGAGTGCAAATTTACGGAATTTGCAAAAATATATAACGTATGCAAAATGCTTGCTCGCGAAATTACGATGCATTAAAAATTGCCCGCATAAAAGGGAAATTCAACTTTCCCTAACGATTATGAATAATGTAAATTTTTAATTTTTTCCAACTAAATTTCAGTAGCAGAAAATACGTACGATCTTCAGATTCGTGCGATACTCTAAATTTCTAGATGCAATTCTCTTTTTTTCTTTTCGATGAAATGGAAAGCCTGTTTATTCCTCTAATTCTCTTAATACAGATATGAATTATACAGGGTGTTTCGTAACTTGTAGGACCCACTTCGGGAGCTGGTTGTACGCCTAAAAATAATGAAAAATAAGTCATATAAATATATATGTCCTATCTGTCTTCGTTTATTAGATGTAATGAATTTTCTGCTTTAATTACTTTTACAAAAGATGCTCGAAATGACTACCTTGCATTTGAAGACAAGCCTGCACGCGTCTCGTCATTGATCTGATTACTCTC